GTGCATGCTGGGGCTTCGTAAGATGGAATATTACAATTTATCAATAAGGCTCTTCACTGATATAAGCTGTTAACAGTTTACTTCTTATTTAAAAAAATAGGTCTCTCCTGATAAAATTTGCAAATTGAAAAATAATTACCTGAAGTTAAGGAGGTGTTGGGCGACTTGGCGAAAATTCGAATTTTAAAATTTTCTTTCCATTTTTAGAAAGCCCACATCAAGAGCATCAAAAAAGGTCCCTAGCTTTTTTTCTCAATGTCAACAAAAGTTGGTGAAAAACGGGATTGAAAATTGGCATTTCTATGAAAATTCGTGAAATTAGATTTTTAAAATCGTTTAAATGCAATTATTTTAATATTTTTAGAAAGCTTACGACTCGCTGAGTATTTTTATTCATTACAGTGACTCACTTATCTAACTGTATTACGAGTTAGTGCAATTTTAAATTTCATTTTTTTGACAATTTGAAACCCAATTTTCGATTGAAGTTTTTAAATAAGCAATTTTCGCGAAAAATTAAATTCCTTCAATTCAACCCGAGAACAGCGTTTGAACTTTCTTTTCAGCATCTAAGTTTTGAAAAATTAAAATATTTTCATTAAAAAATCGCGTTCGAAAATGACGCAAAATGACGATTTTCACGGACATGACATGGAGTCGAGGTCATTATGGCCAGAATCCCTTAATCATTTTTTCTGAAAAAATTTCAACTCTAGTTTAGGGTGCAATCTATAAATAGAAGAAGAGTTTTTAAAAATTTTATTACCCATCTGAGCCTGAGGGCTGTTTGAAAATGGTCAATTTGCCGAAATTTGCCCCACACCTCCTTAAAAAGCTACACTTTCCTGAAGAATATTTGTGTCCAAAAACAAGCGCGTATTTATCAGCAATAACACGGTCACTACTCGCGAACTCTTATCCAACTTATCCGTCTTGCTCTAGAATTATGACTTGAAGCAAAAACGCGAAAATACTGTTTTATAAAATCGAGATTATGAATCAGCTTCACGGGTGCTCGGAAACCGTTAAAAATGTCTTGAATTCTTCATCCTTCGAAATAACTAGGTTTTCGTCCGTTGAGGTTTTCAACGTGCCGAATTTTCGCGTTCGTTTTAATTAGAGGTCGCATAGGGGAAGAATAACAAAGTTCTGTTTCTCTCGCTTTCGGTTATATCTTCTCTTTTGTTTTTCTTGGACGGATTCGCCCCTTCCGACTTTTAAAAACGAGCCGCAGATCGGAACTCAAAGTTCAAACTTTTATTAATAAGAAATTCTCCTTCTTATTTGAAGATGTCAAATTGAAAAGTCTAAAAGAATGATCAATAAGAATTCCTGTTTAATTTCAAAGAAAGGTATCTAACTTGGAATTCTTAAAGCATTCCTTACTCAATAATTTCCTGAGTCTAAAAATATGAGCCTGAGTCTACCTCTTAGACTAAACAGGTCAAATTCGGGACCCGAATTTTCGACAATTTTAGCACCAGTTTGAGTCAGAACAAATTCAGCCCTCATAGACGCCCAAAGCGACGCACTTGTTAGATCCTTGAAATTCCAGTGCTCTCAGCAGTCCATTTCACTTCCGATAGAAAAATCGGGGTCCCTATTTTAACGGGTTTTCCAGCCTAAAACTTTTCATGTCTAAAATATCAGGAAAACCGTTTAATAAATGACCTTAATTTTCGCGAAAAATTTTCCCGTTTATTTCGGCCAGTAACTCCCATGTTTCTTAGGAGTTCCAAAAAATACTCATAGGGAACCTTTCCTTATCGCTGTTTGATAGAAGGAAGTGCTCTGACTCAGATAATTGCAGTTATCTGTCTTTTTTGGATCACTTGATGTTGGATAAACGGCGCGCTATCAAGACGTAACGGAGGTAGTTGTAAATTGAGGTCCGCATTACACGAGTCCCAAAACACTGCCGCATGGATGGAAAGTTTGGGCTTAGACGGATGTCATCATAACACAGAATTTAGATTTCATTTAAATTATCGAATCGTGCACCTTTTTCGGAAAGCTAGAAATAAACATATTTTTTCGTCAAAAAGCTTATTTTACAAATAAATTTCAAAAAGAAAAAAATTAGTCGTTTTCTCACGTGTTCAAATTAAAATTGGGAAGATCGCAAGAAAAGAGAAAAAAGGGAGAAAATAAATTCGAATTTTTGTGAAATTTTTTTTTCTGAAATCTGATTGGTTAACTCGCCTAGTGCCGAAATCTGATTGGTCTTTACTTTGACCAAAATTTCTTGAAAAATTATTGGATTTTTTTATCGATTTTTGACTCCTCTTCATGAAATCATGCATATTTTGTCACAACAACTGGCAACTTATCCTCAAAATTCAAAAATGAATTCTAAAATGACAGTGTGCTGAAAGCGTCTATACAAGGAGAATCGGATTTACTCGCACGTGGGCCAAATAGGACCCACTTCACTCGCTTCATAAAAAATGCTGTCCTTGCAAAACGAAAGCGAATTTCCAAATCGACTTTTTTAACTAAAGTGCGAACTGTCTCAAATTGCTTTGTCGAGATTCTCCTGGCTTTCAATCAACCATATGGGCCGACAATTAATCCGGAAGGCAGGGGTTTCGATTGTTGTTTACAAGAAAAAAATGAAGAAGATCTCGTGATGATTTCGGAATTGCAGGCTCCGTTCTCTGTGACCAAAGCTACCCTGAGAAAATACCGCCCCTTCCGGTTATTTTTTAAACAGATTATTTATAGATTTTTTTATGATTTATTGATTAATTGTCGGAGGCAGATAGCTTCTAACTTCCTTTAGAAATTCTTAACCCTCGAAAATGCCAATTTCAGATCGCTATCAAGTTCATCCGGAGGTCCCTTGGTCCGTTTTTCTTCCGTTCTGGGCGCGGCTCTAGAAAAATGCACGCACGTGGTCCCACAGCGCTCCTCCACCATCGACCCTTTGACATGGGCAAAGTGCCACCGTGTGGCCCAGAAAAGAATAAAAGTAAATTGTAATCCAGCTCACGCTTCAAAAGCTAAAAGCTAAAGAGAAATAGAAATGAAGCTGTTGGCAGCTGTCATTTCTTCGGCTTTGGCGGCCAGAGAGCCCGAGTAAGTCTTTATCAGCTTTTTTTTAGATGATTTTTTATAAAATTATTTTCAAATTTTTGAATCAAATTGATTATTTTATTAAAATTTCTATCGAAAATCTTCATTGAAAAAAATTGAACCTTTCGATTGGTTTTATTGTGAAATTGAATAATTTTGTCTTGGCAGAGTCGCTTATAAAGGGTCAGAACTGTGTCAAGCGTAAAATCAGCTGGGTAAAGTGGGTCAGTTGGTCAATGATTCGAATCAGCGGGTCGTCACTCCCTCGATTGGAATCAGGTCAGCGCGTAGATAAAAGAATAAGAAAGGTTGCTGCAATAGGCGTAAAATTCATATATAAGATATTTACAAAATGTAAAGTTTTTCTACAGTCGTGTCAGCCATCAGTCATCGGCGGGTTTTGAAAATGAATTGAAGAAAAAAAATTCCAGAATGCCGATGTAGTGAGTCATTGTCATGAGGTTGTTAAGGGCGAATCTCGTCAGTCGCTGCTAGTTCTGTCGTATGCGGGCTTGGCAAAGTCAATTGGTCAAGTAGTCTTTCTTTTCTGGCTAAACAAAGGTCGAGTAGTTGAAAAATCGTAATTATTCCATGAATCGAAAAGTATTTCCGGCAGAAGTTTTCGTCCATATGAGTTATGACAAAGCCGAGGGGTCCAAATTAACGCTTATCGTGAGCTGTTTCCAGATCATTTTACGGATTGTTATTTGCTTTCTTCGTTTTCGAGTGAGAAGCGGATGAATTTTCAAAAATTTTGTCCGGACAATTTTCCCAGAATCGGAAATTTCGAAATATGCGAGAGTTTCTAGAACATGAGTGAGTCATCGTGGTATTTCGGCAGATTGTTTGAGTGAAGAACCATTTTCCGGGGATTCGTTTGAGCGTTTCGGATTGTCCAGGCGACCTCTAGGGGCGATTTTATGCGGTTTGCAAAAAAAAAAAAAAGTGTATATTGATATACACTTATTTTCGAAAATTTTGTCCGGACAATTTTTTCGGAACTGCAAAATCTTCTAGAACAGTGATGAATCATTGCAACAAGCTGGGTGATAGCTCGAAATGTTCCTATTGTCGATGTCCCGCAGGTCCTCTTTGCAGAAATTAGTTCCCATTGCTCGTTTACTTTTTATCGTCGGTCGAAGTTTGAGATTTTGGCCGAATTATGGTAATGAAATTTCAAGATGTTCAAAAGTTTCTAGAACATGAGTGAGTCATCGCGGTATTTCGGCAGACTGTTTGACTGAAGAACCATTTTCCGGGGACTCGTTTGAGCGTTTCGGATTGTCCAGGCGACCTTTAGGGGCGATTTTATGCGTTTTGCAAAAAAGTGTATATTGATATACACTATCAGGCACGGCTATGTAAAATGAGCTGGATCGATGACCAAGTTTCCGCTTGCTGTCGTTTTCATAAACGGGTATTTCTTTTTTGCTTTTTTCGTTATCTCCTCGGTGATTGCTGTTTTTGTCTTCCCTGTGATGTCGATTTCCAAGCCCATATGTTTCGCAAGGACTTTCATCTCAAGGATTGTAAAATTGCTTAGGTAGCACTTTTTCTCGAGCATAAGTGCATTGTGTTTGACCAAGTAGAATCCTTCGGCGTCTTTTTCCCAGTTAGGATGGTGAACTTGTATCCATTCATTTATTTTTTCAATCTTCTTTGCTTTCGAGTTTTTCAATGTCGCCCATGCTCCAAGTTTTACTCCACAATTGTATTCTTTAATGAATTTGTCGAGGGCTCTTTCGTGGAGGTCGGCCATTCGTTGTACGACAGGGGAAACAAGCTTCCGCGGTTCTGCTTTAGGTTCATGATTGTTTGTTAGCTCGGCAACTTCAGTTGACTGGCTGTCGATTGAACTGTTATCTTCCTGTTGGGTATTTGATGTTTCCAGTTCGTAGAAAATAGTCTCGTCTGCAGGCCCCGCTTCATCTGAGATTGTTGGTTCTATTTGTTGTTCCGCCGGCATCTGCTTATTCGATTCCTCAACGGCGTTTTCCCGTAATGCGTTATTGCTCTCCTCTCGGTCAATGGCAGACTGGCTTCTTGTCTGGATGAAGTAGGAAGTTCTTCTGTTGAATTTCCTCGGTTTTGGTTTCGCGTCGTTCGTCTGTTGCTTTTGATCTTCTGGTTTTTCGTCCTTTGGTTGGTCGTCTTCAGGTCTGCTGATAAATGGCTTTAGGTGGCTGATGTGCCTTGTCATGTCGCGTCCCGTTTGCGGATTTAATAGGTCGAAACTAAGTCCCTGGTTTTTGATTGCCGTTATCTTCAAGGGTCCGGACCATTTGAAGATTTTTTCGAGTGGGTCGACATTCTTGCAGAGAACAAGGTCGTTTAGCTTGAACTCGTGAATTTTCTCGTCTGAGGATCGTCGTTTATCATGATTCGCTTGAATCTTCTCTCGAATTGACTCAAAGTTGATGGTGTTTCTTGTCTGCCTCTGGCGGTACTTGTCGTTTGAATTTTCTCCCTTGAAGCCTGTTTCGATTTCGAACGGAGAGGCCATCGTTACTGAGTGCTGTGCTGAATTCATCTGATGAATGACTGTTGGTAACCAAGCGTCCCAATTTTCCATGCCACAGGCAAGTTTCAGCCGGGATTTGATTGTACGGTTCCTATTCTCAACTTCACCGTTAGTTTGCGGGTGGTATGCTGGCGAAAGTCGAACCCGCAGTCCTTTTTCTTCTGCAAATTCTCTGACTGCTTTGAACTCTCCTCCATTATCCATAAGAATCTCTCTCGGTAGGTGAGGGTTACGGAGCCATTCTGATCGGAGCGCGTCGAGGACTTCTTCTGGTTTCTTTGAGCGTAGTGCAGAGGCATTCGTTCTCTTACTAAAGAGATCGGTGGAGACACAAATGAATCTTTTATAGCTGTCAGTTATCGGTAGGGGTCCAATGAGATCAATCGAATACTTCTCGAATGGCTGGAGTGGTGCAGTCACATGTCCAAGTGGGGCATTGAGTGGATTTGTTGTCGGCTTCATCAGCTGGCATTTTCGACACGATCGAATGAAGTTAGTCACCGTTGCTTTAAGGTTTGGGTAAAAGTATTTCTCCTCGATACTTTTAAGCGTTTGAGTGATCCCAGGGTGGCCCGACCTGTCGTGGTACTCCTCCATTATTTCTCGGTGAATTGAAACGGGTGGTATTGCTTTGAATCCGTTTTTGTCTATGCCGAGCTCTCCATTGTCTCCGAAGCAAAGAAGGCCCCGGTGTCGCTTAAGTTCTTTGGTGTCTGAGTCCGTCTCCCCTGGCCAACGATCAGCTTTCTGAAATTTGATAACATCTCGAAGGATTCCATCTGATTCTTGAAGGAAGAGGAAGTCGCGGGGTTTAACAATACTGATCGTTGGTTTTTGAAGCTCGTTGATTTGGCGAGAAAGACAGTCGGAAATTTTCATTTCCTTAGACGGTTTCATGATAGTTTGGAAGTCGAATTCACTTATCTCGGCCAGCCACTTAGCGATCTTTAGTTTTCGGCTCATTATTTTGTGCGCCCAGTTGACACATGAATTGTCCGTAAACCAGGTAAATTTCCGGCCGAGGAGATAATGACTCCATTTCTCCATCGCTCGCTTACCAGCCAGGAGCTCCTTCTCACTTATGTTGTAGTTTCGTTGTGCGTCATCGAATTTTTGGGATAGGTAGGCCACAGGACAGAATTTGTCTTTCTTTGTCTTCCTGTAGAAGAGTGCCGCTCCGATTCCAATTTCGCTTGCATCTGTTTCGATAGCGAATTCTCCAATATTTGGATTCGGGATTTTTAGCGCGTCAACAATGCCACAAATTTCGCTTTTTAATCTGTCTAAGGCAACTGCTGCTTCATCTGTCCATTTGAATCCTTTGCTCATCGCTATGTTTATTGGAGCAGCTTTTGAGGCGAAGTGCGGGATGAAGTTGCGGTGGTAGTTAAGTAGTCCAAAGATACTTGCAGCTTCTGATTTTGTAGTTGGCTGGGCAATCTCTCGAACGGCTTTTGTTTTGAGAGGGTTCGGAAAACGGAAACCGTTTTCGATTATTGCTCCGCAGAACTTCACTCTTGGTTTAAGAAACTCGGTTTTCGCGGCGCGTATTTTCAAATTGTTTCGCCGAAGTATCGATAATACTTTTTCGATTGTCTTCAGATTGTCTCCATATGACTTCGAATGTAAACATAAGTCGTCCAAATAGATTGCAAGCTCGCTGCTTGGGACGTCCTTAAATATCTTGTCCATCATCATTTGGAAGACGGCAGGCGCGTTTTTTCCCCCCATAGGCATCGCAGTCCAAGTAAATTGACCAAAGTCAGTTGTTATGGCCACTTTTTGTTTTGTATCAGCATCACAAGGGATTTGATGAAAGCCAGTAAAGAGATCCGCTGTTGAAAAAACCGTAGATTCTGACATCTGATCAATTAATCCATCTATCTCCGGTAGAGGGTACTGATTAGCTATGGTAACCTGGTTCAGCTTCCTGTAATCGCACACGAGCCGCCATTTTCCATTTGGTTTTTTGACGAGAAGAACAGGAGCAGCCCATGGGCTCGAACAGGGTTCCAGGAGTCCGGATGAAACGTTTTCTTCGATTATTCGTTTCATCTCCTTCCGTAGGTAATACGGCGATCGATATCGCTGGGATGCGACGGGTGCTGCATCGCCTGTGTCGATACTATAGGACATCGCATCGGTCGTCCCAAGTTTCTCATCTTCTACTGCAAATACATCGATGAAGTAGAAGATAAGGTCCAATAATTTTTGTCGTATTTCTAAAGGAACTTCTCCTATAGATAGTTCTTTGATAACATTTTCGAATTTTCCTTCTTTTGCTTTTTCAGGCAATTTTACTTCCACCTCGTTAATGTGGCAGATAACCGCATTTTTACCAATGTAGATCGGGATCGCTGACTTATTTGCAACGTGGATTCTTGCCTTGTTCTGCAGACTGCTAAGTTGGATGCACTGGTCGTAAATTTCGAAGTTTTTATTCCTAAATGTCTTTTCTGGAAGGGCACAGATATAGCTTGACGATGATTCGGAGAGGCAGACGTCAATGAAAGCTGATGAGTTTGGTTTGATGGTGATTTGAGAAACGGATGTTGCTGAAGTGGAGAAGAACTGAGACTTCGTGACTGCTTTGATACCAGCTGCTGGGCTTCTGCAGATGATAATCGGCTCAGTTGTGTTGTCTTGACGAAGGCAGCTTGCTCGCAAATCTATCAGAAGATTGTTTTCGGAGAGCTCAGGGGTTCCAAGGATCGGCGAGCAGTGGTCTCCTACAATTTGAAATATACAGTTCTTGAGTGAAATTTTTCCGATTTCTAAGGGCGCGGAAAGGCAGCCGTAAACTTTGATTTCGTTTCCGTTGTATGACTGGAGCTGAATAGATGATGGGATAATGTCTTTGTACATTGATGGCGGGATAAGAGATCGAGGAATACAGGACACCTGAGCGCCGGTGTCGAGTTGAAAATTTGTTTGCTGACCGTAGATTGTTGCTTTTGTAAGAAGTTTTGGACCGACTCGATCCATGATTGATGAGACGGAAGCATGGACTCTATCTGACGATTGATAAAGTCCATTTCTTAGTTTTTTGGCTGTCGCGATGGGCAGATGTCCTTGATATGGCCGCGTTGATTGCAAATGTGGCAGATGACAGTTCCTCGGCAGTTCTTCTTGGAGTGGCCCTTCATTCCGCAAGAAAAGCAGGTGATAATTGAGCCGTCACGTCGTCGTTCGAGTTGTGTTCTTGGCCGTTCCGGGTTGAACGAGTTTCCAGAAGGAGCAGTGAATCGGGCCGTGGTATGAATCGCGTTTTGCTGTTCGGTTGTCTGTCGGGATTGGTTGAAACTTTCCCGTGGTTGTTCTCGGGTCGTCGCCTTAATCTTATTTACCTCAGCGAGTTCGATTTTGAGGGCATCCATCTTTGCATCCATTTTCGCAAGTAGCTGAGAAAAGGAAGCAGATTCAAGTCGTAATGCGGAGACTTCTTCTTTAAGAAGATTGTTCTCCAGGCTGACGGCACTTATTTCGACTCGTCGTTTGAATTTTTTCATCTTGTCCAGGTAGTTTGCGATTTCTTTTGGCGTTTTTGATGATTGTCCCTGGTCCAGAATGTAACGTTTGAGATCTGGCGTCAGATTGGAATTGAATGATTCCTCTAGAAAATGTTCCTTCAGCACATCTTTACCTTTACTTGCTAAAATGGCGAGTTTTTCAATTCTTGTATAGAATCGTGTAAAGGTTTCCTCCTCGTCTGTGCGTCTGGATATCGTCGAGAGTTTTTGACGTGCTTCTTTTGCAAGTTCTTCTGGTTTCTCCTCTCCAATAATCTGGTGCAATAGAGCGTAGAAATCTGTTGAGCCTTTGATGTCTTCGAACTCGTCCTCGTATCGTTCCCGGAATGTTTTGTCCAGATGAGAAAGACAGATTCGTCGACGTGTATTCTTGAATTGTGCCTCAAGTGCAGTCTTTGTTTCTTCGTTGATCTTATGCTCTGTCATTGATGCTCTAAAGATCAAGCCCATTCGTTCCAATTTCTCTTTGAGTTCGTTCTCGATTCTCTTGAGCTGTGTCTTAGAAGTCCTTGTCGTTATCTTTGTCTCTGGCGTCGTATTATTTGTAAAGTCCTCAAGAAGCTCGAAGGGGTGTCGGATCACAAAGTTGGTCACCATGATGCGTCTGTAGAAAAGCAAAGAGAAAATTGAACCTTTCGATTGGTTTTATTGTGAAATTGAATAATTTTGTCTTGGCAGAGTCGCTTATAAAGGGTCAGAACTGTGTCAAGCGTAAAATCAGCTGGGTAAAGTGGGTCAGTTGGTCAATGATTCGAATCAGCGGGTCGTCACTCCCTCGATTGGAATCAGGTCAGCGCGTAGATAAAAGAATAAGAAAGGTTGCTGCAATAGGCGTAAAATTCATATATAAGATATTTACAAAATGTAAAGTTTTTCTACAGTCGTGTCACCACCGTGTGGCCCAGAAAAGAATAAAAGTAAATTGTAATCCAGCTCACGCTTCAAAAGCTAAAAGCTAAAGAGAAATAGAAATGAAGCTGTTGGCAGCTGTCATTTCTTCGGCTTTGGCGGCCAGAGAGCCCGAGTAAGTCTTTATCAGCTTTTTTTAGATGATTTTTTATAAAATTATTTTCAAATTTTTGAATCAAATTGATTATTTTATTAAAATTTCTATCGAAAATCTTCATTGAAAAAAATTACTAAAATTATTTTATAAATAATTATTTATCGAAATAATTATTTAAAAAATATTTATAAATCTGATCGAAAATTATAGTGCCGAAAGGCGACTCGAGAAGATCACAGCTCGAGCAACTGAGCTCAATGCCTTCGTCCAATCCTATGACAAATCATCCCAGAAGCAAAAAGACAACGTCGACAGATGGGTCAACCGACTCCTCCAGGATCTCAACAACATCGACACTTCCAAGTGTCCCCTTCCAGCCGAAGAAGACAAATTCGCCGACGAAATCGACACGATCGAAGATCTCTGCTCCGGCGCTGAACGAGTTCCCTCGATGATCCGAAGCTACGCTCGAAAATTCGGCTGCGTGGAAGGATTCCCGAAGCGAAAATTCTTGGAGAAGGTGATCAAGCGATCCCATAAGCTGAAAAAGGTCGCCCGCCGAGCTGGACGATGCGACAAGCCCGAAGTGACGACGGAACCAGCTCCGACCGAGGCTCCAACAACTATGGCTCCAGTGACGGGCGTCTGTGACGCAGACCAGCATGCCGTCTGCAGTAGTCTCGGAAACTCGGAGATTTTCTTCGAAAACGAATGGACCTGCCGAAACTGCTTCCGAATCAGAGCCTTCTACGGCACTGGCGGCGGCTTCACTTTTAACCCAAAGAAGGATTTCGTCAGCATCAAGTTCACCGAGCCCGTCTACTTCCAGAAATGGAATCATCCAATCCATCCGGACGGACCAGTTGAAGTTGCAGGAAGCAACAAGCACCACTGGAAGATGAACTTCAAGGAAGACGGCAACTTCCTTTCTGGAATGATGTTCGACGCTGAACTCATCACTTCCGATCTTGACCTCTGGGTTGATGGTCAGTGGATCATCGACTCTGCCCAGTCTTGCAGATGCAAACCTGGCCCTCCACCTCCACCCGAATGCGAACCAGCTGATCCATGCAGCGGAAGAGAAAACTGCGAAGCTTTCGTCGATAGCTGCGGAATCACTCCATCAAGAAACAACAATATTGCCACTACAACAGGCTCGCCTGCTTTCAAGGTCTCCGCTGAAGTCAAATGCGGAGAGATTCCTGATGATTGGCAAAACATCATCCACATCAACGCTGGCAGCAGATGGGACGTCCTTGGCGACAGATACTTTGCTCTTTTCGCTGGCCCTGAGACGATGAAATTCAGCGCTCCACTCAAAAACTCCGGCAACGTAGCTGGCGGCGGAAACTTCATGGTCAACCACTACCCGAGCTGCACTCCTGGCGAGTGGAACAAATACCAAGTCGAGCAGCGATATACCGACGCTGAAGACACTCTCGAGCTCACCATGTCAATCGATGATGAAGTCTTTGTCACTCGAATCGTCGACGTAGCCGATGCCTTCAGCGGTGATCTCTTTGTCGATGTCTCCAACGACTACCACGATTCTGCCACTGGCTTCGAGGTCAGAAACTTCTACCACCAGACTTTCCCCGAAGCTGAACCTTGCGACCCAGTTGATCCATGCGAGGGACGAGACAACTGCGACACTCTCGTCGACAGCTGCAGCATCCGACCTCAGCACAGCACTCAAATCGGATCCGTCGATGGTAATGCTGTCTACAGCGCCAGCGTTGATGTCTTCTGTCGCCGAACTGAAGGCCACTCCTGGCAGAGCGTCGTCCACATGACTCAAGGTGGATACAGAGAAAACTTTGGAGACAGATATTTCACCATCTGGCAACGAGACGATGGTAAACTCAAAATCAACGCTCCACTCAAGGGCAACACTCAATTCGACGAGGTCGAATACTTTGTCGACTGCGAAGATAACTCCTGGACTAACATCGCTGTCAAGCAAACTCAGATTGATTTTGGCCGACTCGAACTCACCGTCTTCCAAGATGGAAACGCTCTCGGCTCCAACATTATCCACCACACCGACGCCTTTGTCGGCCCAGTTGAGGTCTGGTCTGGAAACAGCTGGTTCGAGCCCGCCAGTTTCTTCAAGATCAAGAATTTTATCCACTCATCGCAACCCTACGAACCTGAGCCATGCGATGCTATTGATCCATGCGAAGGACTCGAGAACTGCGAGACTTTCCAGGACAGCTGCGGAGTCGCTCCATTCAGAGGAAACCGACTTGGAGAATCGAACGGACATCTCGGATTCAAAATCTCCGCTGAAGTTCAGTGCACTGACCGAGTTGCTCCTTCTTGGGAAAACGTTCTCCACGTCCACACTGGCACCAACCGAGAGAACTTCGGTGATCGATATTTCACAATCTGGAAGGAAGCCAACAAACCCGATGGAATCAGAATCGTCGCCCCTGCCTTTGAAAACCCTCTTTACGAACTCAACGCTTACGTTTCCTGCGCTCCCGGCTGGCACACATTCACCGTCCAACAATCCGAGTCCAGCAAGAATTATATGCTTCTCGAAATTTTGATGGACGGAGTTGTCGTCGAATCTCAGGAAGTCCGAAAAACTGATACTTACCAAGGACCACTCTTTGTCGAAGCATCCAATGAATTCGCTTGGCCAGCTGCTTACGATCACGTCGTCCGAAACTTCTACCACCAGGATATCACTTGTGTCGATCCATGCCACGGCGAAGACAACTGCGAGACTTTCATCGATTCCTGCGCCATCAACCCCGTCAAGAACAACCGAATCACCAACGTCGTCGCCTCCGTCAACCACGTCACATCTGTCGATGTCCTCTGCACTCACGTTGAATTTAGCTCCTACATGAACTTTGTTCAACTGACAAGCATGGCTCTTGATGGCAACCCCGGCCAGCGATTCTTTATGCTCAACCGCAGACCAGACTCTCAGGCGATCACACTTGGCTTTGCAAACCCCGAAACTTTCAAGTACTTTTCGAATGCCGGTGATTTTGACTGCGTCCCAGGCGAATGGAACACTTACAAACTCGAGCAAAGACAGGACGAAAGCAACCCAGCTCTGACCAACATCGTCGTCAGCGTTAACGACGACATTGTCGCCGAACGAGTTGTCGCCACTCACCGAGTTTTAAAAGGAGATGAGCTCAGAGTTTACGCTTCGAATAAATGGAACGACGCTGCTGCTGACTACGAAGTCCGAAACTTCTTCTACAAGACCTTCGACGAAGTCGACTACGAGCCATGCGTTGCTGTCGATCCTTGTGAAGGCCAGGCTGACTGCACCACTTTTGTCGACTCCTGTGACATCCGACCTGAAAACAAAAACAAAGTTGCTACAGTCAGAGCTGAATTCAACAGCGTCGTCAGCGCCGAAGTCCAATGCTCTCACGACATGGAACTTGGCGATTGGACGAATATCCTCCAGATGACCTCGATGCAGCTCGACGGAAACCCCGGACAACGATTCTTCATGCTCAACCGACACAAGGACAATCAGAAGCTTCAATTGGCCGTCGCTGACCCTTCAACCGACGGATTCTGGGCCCAAAGCGGCTGGTTTGATTGCGTTCCTGGCGAGTGGCAGACTTGGCGATTCGAGCGACAACAGAATTCCGACAACCCAACAATTGTTGATCTCTCTGTTTCTCTCGATGACGTCGTTGTTTACTCCAACTCTGTTGCCACTCACGAAGTCTACGCCGAGGCAGATCTTGATGTCTACTTGTCGAACAGATGGAACGATGCTGGATCCGCCTACGCCATCCGAAACTTCTTCTATCAGACTTACCCGAAAATGCAGACTGATCCATGCGCAGCCGACGGTTATGTTCGCTCAAGACCTAACTGCGAGACCTTCATTAATGCTGCTCCAATGTCGCCCTCAGAAAACAACCAGATCGCAACTGTCACTGCTTCCGTCAATCACATTACATCAGTCGACATCCTCTGCACACATGACATGCCTATTGCCGGCGTTCACTACCAGATTCTCCACATGACTAAAGATGACGGAACAAGAAGCCTTGGAGATCGATTCTTCTCCTTCTGGCGAAGACACACGAGCCAAGAGATTCTCATCAACTACGCTTCTCCAATGGGCAACCAGTGGGGTGAAACCGGCCGCTTCTGGGATTGCACTCCTGGCGAGTGGAACACTTACACTCTCGAGCAATTCCAAGACAGTGAAGCTCCTCACATGACCACTTCTACGGTCAAAATTGATGGAGTCAATGTTCATTCTGTCCGCGCCGAAACCAGCGAGATCCTCAAGGATGTTCCAATTAAGGTCTTTGCTTCCAAAGGTCTTCCAGCTAATGCTTTCCAAATCCGAAATTTCTTCTACCAAACTTTCCCCGAGCTTACATACGAGGAGCCAACTGCTGTTCCTTGCTCTGACGGACGAGTAAACTGCTTCGAATTCGTCGGTTCGACCCCAGCTGCTCCACAACTGAACCTCCGAAAAGCAACAATCACTGCTCACGCCAACAATGAAATCTCTGTTGACATCAAGTGCGGAGCTATGAACGACAACGTGCACAACAGCATCGTTGAAATCACCAATGGCGCCGCTCGAGGAGTCCTCGGAGAACGAGTTTTCATGATTTGGGAAGCTCCAACTGGTCGACCAGGAAAACTGTTGATCAATGTTGCTGATCCAACTGGAGTTAACAGCGATACCGGATTCTGGTTCGATTGCAATGAAGGTAAGAAAAGTCAGATTTTATTTAAACCATCGCGAAGATACTAAAGATAATCCTTTGATAATATATCTTTAAGGCGACTGGAACACCTACAAACTCTCCCAGCGACAGAACGCCGGTGATTCTTCACTCACCGACATTGTTTTCACCATTGACGGAGTAACCAAACACACTCGCCAAGTGCCCTCCGCTGACGTCCTCCGAGACGACGACATCCACGTCTACGCTGGTCGATGGCACCCAGCCACCAACTACGAAATCAGAAATTTCAGCTATCAATTCTTTGATGAAGTTTGAGAAATTTTATAAATTATGGTCTGTCCAAGAATTTTTTTTTTTCAATTCTCTGTAAATAACATCCCCTGCTAACAATTTTTATCAATAAAATCAAAAAATAAAATATCGTCATTCTCATTCCTCAAAGTAGAAAAAAAAAATTATGCCGCGAAAATAATCCGCGATTATTTCAAGCTATATTATAAAAATGACCTCTAATACTTCCCTTTTTCAGAAAAACTATTTCGGCCAAAATTAAAAATTCATGTTCCAAAATTTTGGGACTCGCGTAATGCGGATGTCCAAATTCCTGCTACTTCCGTTACGTCGTGTTAGAGTTCTCTTTATCTAATATCAAATCATCCAAGATCGTTGATACCCACAACAACCTGAGTCAAAACACTTTGTTCTAAAATGAAATGATACAGTAGAATCCAACTCAAGGAATACTTCTGGGCATTTTTAGCTCTTCACTCAACAATCACTTTGAAGGATGTTCTTCAATCGAATAACCTCTTACTAACCAGTTAGTGAATCCAGCGTTTTGAAAAAATCAAGGACTCTTAGTTTGGCCAATGCTCGAATAAAAGAGTTGAGAAATGAAAAAGAATTGAAGCGAGCATTTTTCTTCTTTGCGTTATTTCCGGCGTTAATTGCATTCAGTTATTAAAACTGAGCAGCAAATACCCCAAAAATACCCTGCTCATACCTTTTAAAAACTAAATTCATAACGGTTTGAGCGGAATGACGCTCAAACGATCCTACAGTCACTCTTTTCTAATGAGAGTTGAAAACTTTGAACTCCTAAATCTAAGTCATCGAGTCAAGGCTGCCACTTGGCCAATGCATAAACGTCAACCCGCTACCTCTGATCTGTCTCAGTTATTCAACCAGCGGGCAATAATTAAAACCATGCTCACGCCTGACAAAAATAAACGCTTAACTTGCTAGAAAACCGGGGCTACCCACTTTGATTGATTCCAATCAGAAGAGCATCAATTTACGCACACTTGGACTCCTCGGAAGAATCAAAGTACAAAAAAGCTCGATGAAAACCACATTCGAAGTTTAGTTCTATAGAAAAAAGCAGAATCGGTGAAAAGCAAGGTCAAACAGTTTCAGAATTCTTGTATCTATAAAATTTCTATTTCAAAATATTAAAAAAAAAATTAAAAAAATTCCAAATAATAGAACTTTCCTCTGAGTCTGAAAAGAAAAACATGATAAAAAACCGTAACGTTCAATTGACTCGGATTTTCGGGGCTCAGAAAAAGGATCAACCAGAGGACAAAGATTTATTCAAGGCCGGACAAAGCACAACGAAGCTCAACGTGCGTGGCCTTCGATGCATCACGAGCACCAACGTGCACCACCACCACCAACGATTTCTGACTCGCAATAGATGCCACCTGGCGACCCAGTTTTCAATATAAGCGAGGATTTGGTCCCTTTTGAGGCCATAATCTGACTACAGAGAAAAAAAAGAGAAGAAATGAAGCTGTTGTCAGCAGTCATTTCTTCAGCTTTAGCTGCCAGAGAGCCAGAGTAAGTATTTTTGCGAAGTTTATTTTAAAAATTTTTTTGAAATTTTTTTGATAATTTTCGTTTTTTTTTAACTTCATCCCCAATTCTGTTTATTCATTAATAAGATCAAAAATTCTAGTGCCGAAAGGCGACTCGAGAAGATCACAGCTCGAGCAACTGAGCTCAATGCCTTCGTCCAGTCCTACCCCCGATCTACTCAGAAACAAAAAGATGGCGTTGAAAAATGGGTTGGCAGAGTTCTTGAAGACCTCAACAATATCGACACTTCCAAATGTCCTCCACCAGCAGAAGAAGACAAATTTGCCGACGAAATCGAAACAATTGACAATCTATGCGAGGACTCTCTGAAAGTTGCATCGATGATCCGAAGCTACGCTAGAACATTTGGGTGTGTTGAAGGATTTCCGAAGCGGAAGTTTTGGAAAGAGTGAGCATACGCTCTCATAAGCTCAAAAATGTCGCTCGTCGAGCTGGACGATGCGATACGTCCATTGCGACCACGGAACCAGCCCCGACCGAGGAACCAACAACTCTTGCTCCAGTGAAAAGTGTCTGTGGCAAGAACAGACATGCTAAATGCAGAAGTCTCGGCAACTCGGAGATATTCTTCGAAAACGAATGGACCTGCCGAAACTGCTTTCGAATCAGAGCCTACTACGGAACCGGCGGCGGCTTCAATTTCGACCCTTCGAAGGGCGATTTTGTCAGCATTAAGTTCACCGAGCCAGTCTTCTTTCAGAAATGGAACCATCCACTTACTGAGCCAGCTGAAATCGCAGGAAGTAACAAGCACCACTGGAAAATGAACTTCAAAAATGACGGCAACTTTGTCTCTGGGATGATGTTTGACGCTGAACTCATCACTTCCGATCTCGCCCTTTGGGTCGACGGTCAGTGGATCATCGACTCCGCTCAATCCTGCAGATGCAAACCCGGCCCTGATCCAAACGTTTGTGTTCCAGCTGATCCCTGCACTGGACGAGAAAACTGCGAAGCTTTTGTCGACAGCTGCGGAATTCGTCCATCCAAAAACAACAGTATCGCCACAACAAACGGTTCGCCCGCTTTCAAGGTCTCCGCTGAAGTCAAATGCGGCGAAACGCCAAACGATTGGCAGAATATCATCCACATGCACACTGGCACCAGCAGAGAGGTTTTCGGAGACAGATATTTTGCTCTCTTTGCCGGAGCTGAGACTATGAAATTAAGCGCTCCACTCAAAAACTCCGGTGGCGGAAACTTCATGGTCAACCACTACCCAACCTGTACTCCCGGCAAATGGAACAAATATCAAATTGAACAACAATATACCGACGCTAAAGACACTCTTGAGCTGACCATGTCGATCGATGATGAAGTTGTCCTCACTAGAATCGTGGACGTGGATGATGTCTACAGCGGTGATCTCTTTGTCGATGTCTCCAACGACTTCCACGATTCTGCCACTGGATTCAAAGTGAGAAACTTCTACCACCAGACTTTCCCCGAAGCTGAACCTTGCCAGCCTGTTGACCCATGCGAGGAACGAGATAACTGCGATACCCTTGTCGACAGCTGCAGCATCCGACCTCAGCACAGCACTCAAATCGGATCAGTCGACGGTAATGCTGTCTATAGCGCCAGCGTTGACGTCTTCTGCCGTCGAAGTGAAGGGCACTCTTGGCAGAGCGTCGTCCACATGACTCAAGGTGGATACAGAGAGAACTTTGGAGACAGATACTTCACTATCTGGCAGCGAGACGATGGAAAACTCAAAATCAACGCTCCTCTCAAGGGCAACACTCAATTCGACGAGGTCGAATACTTCGTCGACTGCGAAGATAACTCCTGGACTAACATCGCTGTCAAGCAAACTCAGGTTGATTTTGGCCGACTCGAACTCACCGTCTTCCAAGATGGAAACGCTCTCGGCTCCAACATCATCCATCACACCGATGCCTTCGTCGGCCCAGTCGAAGTCTGGTCCGGAAACAGCTGGTTCGAGCCCGCCAGTTTCTTCAAAATTAAAAATTTTATCCACTCATCGCGGCCTTACGAGCCTGAATCATGTGACGAAACAATCGATCCATGCGAAGGACTCGAGAACTGCGAGACTTTCCAGGACAGCTGCTTAGTCGCTCCATTCAGAGGAAACCGACTTGGCGAATCGAACGGACATCTTGGATTCAAAATCTCCGCTGAAGTTCAGTGCACTGACCGAGTCGCTCCTTCTTGGGAAAATGTTCTCCACGTTCACACTGGCACCAACCGAGAGAACTTTGGTGATCGATATTTCACAATCTGGAAAGAAGCCAACAAACCCGATGGAATTAGAATTGTCGCGCCTGCTTTTGAAAATGCAAATCACGAACTAAATGCCTACGTTTCCTGCCTTCCTGGCTGGCATACTTTTACTGTGCAGCAAACAGAATCTGGCAAGAACCATATGCTTCTTGAAATTCTTATGGACGGATCAGTCGTAGCGTCCCAAGAAGTTCGAAAAACAGAAACCTATCAGGGTCCTCTGTTTGTTGAAGCATCAAATGCATTTGTCTGGCCAGCTGCTTACGATCATCTCGTCCGAAACTTCTATCACCAAGCAATTTTCCATGGCGACCCTTGTTTTGACAAAGAAAACTGCACCACTTTCATCGATGCTTCTTCAATCTCACCCTCAGAAAACAACCAGATCGCAACTGTCACAGCCGCTGTCAACCACAAAACATCAGTCGAAATTCTCTGCAATCATGACATGCCTATTGCCGGCGTCCATTACCAGCTTCTCCACATGACCAAAGATGATGGAACAAGAACTCTTGGAGATCGTTTCTTTTCTTTCTGGCGAAGGCATACGAGCCAAGAAATACTCATCAACTACGCTTCTCCTATCGGCAATCAGTGGGGCGAGACCGGTCGCTTCTGGGATTGCGTTCCTGGCGAGTGGAATACTTACACTCTCGAGCAGCGGCAGGATATTGATAAACCTTTCATGACCACTTCCACGGTCTACATTGATGGAGTCAATGTCCATTCTGTCCGCGCTGAAACGAGCGAAATCCTCAAGGACGTTCCCATCAAAGTCTTTCTTTCCAAAGGTCTCCCAGCTGCCGCTTTTCAAATCCGAAATTTCTTCTACCAAACTTTCGCCGAGCTTCCATACGAAGAGCCAACTGCCGCTCCCTGCTCTGACGGGCGAGAAAACTGCTTCGAATTCGTTGGCTCAGTACCTGTTGTTCCAGAACTAAACCTCCGAAAAGCCACAATCACTGCTCACGCCAACAACGAGATCTCGGTTGATATTAAATGCGGAACGATGAACGACAACGTGCACAACAGCATTGTCGAGATCACCAGTGGCGCCGCTAGAGGCGTCCTTGGAGAGCGAGTTTTCATGATTTGGGAAGCGCCAATTGGTCGACCAGGAAAACTGTTAATCAATGTTGCTGATCCGACTGGAGTCAAAAACGATACCGGATTCTGGTTCGATTGCAACGATGGTATGAAAACTCATATTTTTTTATCATTTGAATAATGAAAGAGGGTTATTCTTATTTTAAGGCGACTGGAACACCTACAAACTCTCTCAGCGACAAAACGCCGGCGATCCTGCACTCACGGACATTGTTTTCACCATTGATGGGGTCACCAAACACACCCGCCAAGTGCCAACTGCTGATGTTTTCCGAAATGATGACATCAAAGTCTACGCTGGTCGATGGCACCCAGCAATCAATTACGAAATCAGAAACTTCAGCTATCAATTCTTTGATGACATCCCTCTCGGCCCCCAGAACTGCAACGACGTGGACAACTGCGTGATCGTCGGTGTTGATTCCGTCTCTCCCGTCCAGGGCAATCTTGCCGCCACAATCACCGCCGTCAAGAACTACAAATTCTCGATCGACATCAAGTGCGACCACTCTCTCCCCTTCAACGGCTTTAAAAACATCTTCCACGTGACCACAGGCCCCAACGACGGCGTCTACGGTTCTCGCCAGTTTGCGATCTGGAGATCGAGCAATGAGAACAAAATGCACATCACTTGGGCGAATCCAAAAGCAGCTGCTGGTTACTCGAGAAATTACTTCCACTGCAACGATGGAGAATGGAACACATACACTTTTGAACAATGGCAACAGGCACCCAACCAGCCTCAATGGATCTGGCACAAACTTTCCATCGATGGAGTAAAAATCGACGCCAAGCGATTTAACGACAACGACTATCCAGTCCTCGACGGCGAGCAGATGAACGTCTGGATCTCCAACGAAGCTGCCGACGCTGCTTCTACCTTTGAAATCAGAATCTTCTCTTACGAAAAATACCCAGACGTTTAATTTGAAAAAAATTACCGTAAAATTGTGTTCTCTGTAAATAAAATCCCTTGCTTCTATTTATTTCAATAAAAAATCGAATAAAATATTTGTTATAAATTTTATTATACAGAAAGCAAAATATCGGGGGCAAAGCAAGTTGAACTTAGAAAGCATTAAAAAGTTATTGATGCAGGATTGTTGTCAGATAATTGAAAGGAAAGATTTCAAAAGCTTTATTCTTCTTTGTTCTTCTTGCCCTTCTTTTTACCGCCAAACTTTTTCTTCTTTTTGGAGTCCTCAGAGGATTTGTCTTCGTCTTCTGCTACGGCAGCTTCTTCGGTAGCAGCTTCCTCAGCGGCAGCTTCGGCGACTGTTTCTTCGACACTTGAGCTGGCAGCACCATCATAGACGTATTCGTAAGCAACTGGCTCCTCATCAGCAGCTTCTTCTTCCACGACAACGTCGTCGACGACCTCCTCAACAACAACAGCTTCTACGAGAACCCCATCAATAACTGGCTCCTCAGCAACTGGTTCTTCAACGACTGGCTCTTCCTTAGAAGGCTTCTTGTTCTTCTTTGGCTTGCTTGCTTTGTCGCTCTAGAAAATTAATGAATCCGCTTCAACTAAATTTGTTTACCTTTTTCGCCTGTTTCTCGGCTTTCTTGTCCTGGGAAGCTTGTTTCTTATCCTGAGACTTCTTCTTTTTGTCTTGCTTCAATTTTCGCTGAGCTTCGTTCGCTTCTTTGACTGTAAGTCGAGTTTCTAAGAATTTTTTTCAGAAAATGAGCATAAATTTAGAACCATACGTTTTCGCTCTTGTTTCTCTGCTTTTCTAGCTTGCTTTGCCTCGCGATTTTCATCTCTGACGGCTTTTTCTTCCTCGGTCAATTTTGGCCGCCGGCCTGGAAACGAGTTAAAAGCGAGTTTTTCCACTTTAAATTCACCTGATCGGAAAAGACCGGTAGCTCGGAGCTGGGCTTTTTCAGCGCCTCGTTGGAGCTGATCAGTGAATTTTCGAAGCTTGCGGTTTGCTTTCGAGTTGAGATTCGGGCACGCGTCGGCGGGGAGTTTCCGGTTGATGTACTCGTCCCAGAGGTCGAAGCAGACTTGGATCTAGAAATTTCATGAGGGAGAGAAAAAATTAAGGGGGTTTACCTTGTTATCGACGTTGTCAAAAGTCATTCTCTGCTCAACCTCGTCGAGTTCTTCCATCTCGACTCGCTCGTTGACGTCTTCGGTGCCGCAGAATTGCGCTCGATCCTTGACGATCGGGTAGAGCACCTCCTTGAATTCCTGAATTCTTCTGTGGACCCTGTTTTCAGCGGAGATCCCCTGAGTTTCCAAAAAGGAAATGATGTTGTTGCATTTGTCGATTCGACCAGCTGTGGCGGCGGAAATAACAACGAGGCTGGAGAGCTTCATTTTTTGCAGGTCTTTTTTCTCTCTTGAAAAAGATTATGAGCCACGGACAAAAATCCGGCGGTATTTATAGCATTGAATTTTTGAGCGCCATCGCGTGAAAAAAAGCTTTATCGGCGCTGTTCTGTTTTGGGTTGCGTCATTATCGCTGAGTAGAACTTAGGCGAAGCGGCGAATTAGCTAAAGATTTTAGAAAGAATTATCAATTCTATAGGTAAACAAGATAAACTCTTCAATTGACGTCAGAAAATTAAGAATTTTTAAGTGGCTGGAACCTAATCGCGGTGGCGATTTTGACGGATGCTGACTGCTTTTTGGAGGCAGCTGATTAGACCACTTGAAATTAAAGAGTTTAAAAAGAATTGGAAAGCTTCAATCTTCTTGCCGGTTTTTGAAAACTCGTGAAAATTCGATGGCGTAGCGTCATTAATTCTTTATCAATTCTTGCCATAATTCATTCGATCTGTTTCTCTTCAGAATAAACAGAAGTAACTGGAGTTCAGTGGCGGTAAAAATCGTAAAGAGGGGTTTTTATTCGAGCCTATGATTCGAGCCATCCAATATCTCTAGGATCTGGGCTAGTGGTTAGGTTTAGGGACTAGGGTCGAAGCCCCCTGGTTTAGGCCAAAGCTGTGGAGTCCTGGGGGCGTTTGCCACCTTGTTTAGGATTAGGGTTAGGGGCTGCTCGAATGATTACCCCCGAGTCGGGGCCCCCGACTACTCTAAAAATGTAAGCTCTACATAAGATTTGTTCAACGGTGAAGGTTACTTTCAGCACCAAAGCATTGACTTCTTCAGGTGGTGGTATGCGGTCATGAGGGTACCGTACCCTTGTTTGCTTTCCATCATGAATGAGGGTACCCGATAAGTCAGTAAATCAAACTTAACCTTCAGAATTAGAAATGTATGACTAAATTCTTACGGCGCTGGTTTTCACCGATTCGCAAGTTTAATAATGCTAAATTGGCCAAATCATCAAGGGAAATATCTCACGCAACACTTCCGGCGAGCCTCATAACAAGGATTTCAATAAACACAAACGAGCGTAAAAACGCACGCAAAAATTAGTCATAAAGCGTCAGAGCCTTCTTATATAAAATTTAAATCTTCCTGTTTGAGTGTGGCTAATTGAGTTATTGTTGCGAATGGCATCTTTTTTCCTTTTCTATTCACGAGTTGAGAATTCGTAGAATCTGGGCCATCTTGGGCATATTGGATTTCCGGGCCTTTAATTACCGGGTCAGTAGGGTTTTTTCCGGATTTTTCAACTCGCAAGTGTCACATGACTCGATCTATCTGTCCCTCTCTTGCACTGATCGCATGTGTTCTTCTATTGCTAATCCAGGGCACTCAGATTCGTTGATCATCGGAGTTCCCCAGGTAAAATGCTTCCTTGATTTTTCGAGAAAAAGAGCGAACGGGGATACTGGTACCCTTGTTCAAGGAAATCGGCGAACGGGGGTACTCGTCCCCTCGTTCACGTAACCCTAACCCTAACCTGTGAATTAAATCTGAGTCAGGGTCATTTAAAAATTTTCGCATAATAACCATTCTAATCAATTTTTGTATTCTGGCGTAACCTTTCAGATCTTAATCGTGGTTTTCTACACAGGTTGCCGTGCTCAGGATAACCCTAAAAATGGCTTGTGATAATAATAAGCTAGACGCTTGGTTTTCGATTGAAATCCCTTGAATTATTGGCTTGCAGACTTGTATATTTTTCGCTTCGAAAAGATATTCAGATACGTATTGAACGTGAAACTATCTAAAATTTTGTTGCTAATCATAATTTTAGATATCTCCTCGGCATTCGTTCCGCAATCAATCTTCGCATCTCCGCCACGTTTCCAAGACATCTTTTCCAAATAAGACAACGCTTGGGCTTCGGTTGTGGAATCCCTGGGCTTTGAGGGTTATTTTTATTATTGGCGAAAAATAAAAATGCTGGCGGATATTTGGTAAATATGATATTGAGTATCTTTTCAGCGGCGCTTGTTGAACACACTTTGGATGTTTTGACAATAGCTGTCCTTTGAGCTTGTCGATCCTCATCTCTGATTTTTACAATCATCTTCAGAGGGCCGTCAAGAGTGACGATCTCCATTTTCCAGGATTGCTTGAAATAGCTAATCCGCTACTTAGTATTTCAATTTGGTATTATGGAGCCGAAAGAGAGCATTTCGCATTCTGTCGACAAGGTAAGATTCTTTTCGAAACAAAGTGGACAAACAAACGCTTTTAATAAGATAACAAGGGATGATTCCACGAAAAACGAGTCGATTTACGAAGATCAATTTCGGGTATGATTTTTGCCTTACCAGGTTTAGCCTACGCACTGCGTAGTACGCAGACTGGGGAGGAAGCAGGAACGGACAAAAAATTTTGACAAATTTTGCGTGGAAATTTTGAACCAATCGGAAGCCTGGATTCAGCCTACCGGCCAATCAGCAGCTAAGTAGCCGCCCACACAAAATTTGTCGAAATTTTTTTGTCGCTTCCTGACGCCACCCCCAAAACTCTAGTGAAAAAAAATTAGGGAGATATTTTTTCAGGAGCTGTATAAACTGGACGATAGCGAAGAGAGAAGAAAATTTCTTACTGAACTTTTTGAATTCATGACTAAAAGAAGGACTCCGATTGCTCGTGTTCCAGGTCATCTAGTCATCTTTCTTAGCGTTTGAAAATCTTCATAAAGTGATGGCGAAGCAAGTCCTGGACCTGTTCAGCTTGTACACGCTTGTGGTAGAAAGAGGAGGACTGGTAGAAGTTATCCAGAGAAAAATCTGGCGAGAGATAACAAAAGGATTGAAGCTCCCGAATTCCATTACTTCTGCGGCTTTTACGCTCAGAACTCAGGAAAAAAGCCAAAAGAGGGATGGTTTCGTTTTTCTTCAAATTATTAGGCTTTCAAAAGTACATGAAATATTTGTACCCATTTGAATGTCACAAGGAAAATCTCTCATCATTCGAAGATTTACAAAATGCCATCGACGGGAACAAAAGAGACAACAGAAGAAACAACGATCGCTCATTAGAACCGCTCATCAACCCTTTTCAGTCGCAAATAATTCCTCATGTGTTGCGACTGCATCAACCCTTTAGGTTGGTTTGTTCGAAAGAGAAGGAAATAGATTCGTTTAGTTCTTTGTATCGTCCGATTCCGAGTTTCCAAAATGGAAAAAGATCGCTTCCATGGACTTCTGAAATTCCTTTAACTTGCGAAAAGAAAGTGAAAGTTACTGTTGAGTTCGAAGGTACTGTTTATTCAGGAGTATTGCAGCAGAAATAAATAATAAGGAGAAGCATTTCATTTTACTCACATCACTTTTACTCAAAGTTGCAACTTTGCTGAGCTGAGTAAGCTGAGCTAGCTGAGTGAGTTTAGCAGTCGCCCAGCTCCGCTCAGTGATTTTTGAAAAAGCGGCGGAAATTCAAAGCGGGGAAATTTGAATTTTCACTGTATCACTCTTGCTTCATTAGCTTATCTCCGAAGTGGCATTAAACTGTCGCAGTTCTCGACAAGCTCGTAAACGAGAGATCTTCCCGTATTTTTCGCCGGTATGAAGTTGCTTTTTTTGCTTTTTCAAATCACTCGCTATGGAAAACGAAGGCGAAAATGAGAGAGTTAAAAAACTTTTTTTCAAAACTAAAATTCGGGTAATTTCAAGGCAAATAATAAAAAATAACTTTTTAAAACCAAGTGCCTCGATTGTGATTGTTTTGGCGTTTTGAGAAAAAAGGGCAAAGAGGTGTTTTTATTTCCGGAAGAAGTTTTGACAACCCGAAGCATTCGAACTCAAGAAGAAGATTTGAAAAAGGAGAAAACATGGAAGAAAAAGATGACTGGGAAATTGAGCTTTGCTGAGCACGGCTTTTCAACCATGCCGCAAATGGGGACCTATCTTGGATTGGGTTCAATTTTCTGGATTACGATCATGCTCCTCGGTACGGTTCATTCTTCAAAGTTAGATAAATAGTGGAGTAAACTTGTGCGCGGGCGCTTTCTGGCTTTCGAAAAGCATCAAGTTATTACAATTTATTGAAGATTCTTAAAGCGAATTTACGATCTCTGGAAAAATCAAGAGCAGTCAGAACTTATCTGACGACCACTTGTCATCGTAACTATAAAATTTGCGTGCGGATAGAGACTATGGATTTTTGCGGACATCTCATGAAGAAAGAGTTTTAAATTCCTCAAAAAGGGGCTATTTATCCGTTACGTCAAACTCTGAAAAAGCAATGTTATGAAACAAAACAGTTCAAACTTCCAACTCCAGTTTCCAAAATCGACGAAATAAGTAAAGAGCCCGATAAATTTTCAAAAGAAGAAAACGAAGTAAACCTGCGCCGCTGCAAAAAGAAAAAGTTTTACGATCAGAAAGCTTGTCGTTTTTTCTGTTCCAAAACACTTGTCTTGGATTCAAGCAGAAATAAGCCGATTTCGCCTTGTGAGTCAATTTGCTTTCAGCTCACTCGTTCTTTCGAGTCTGCTGGGGCTGTTTGCCCGACTGAGAAGTACTGCAAAAATGGATGCCCTTGTCCGTACTACAAGTGCGAGAAACTGAGGGACAACCAAAAAATGATTCCCGTTTTCGATCTTGAAAAATATGAGACAATAAAAATTGAAGAGCTGGAGCTTTCAGGAAGCTTCAACTTTTTATTGATATATTTTATGAATAATCTTTCATACTTACTTTCTTTCAAAACTTCCTAGAACGATGATGTTCATCGGAATATATACAAATTTGAAGCCTCCATTCGAAGATAAAAAAGAAGAAGACAAAGATGAAAAGTCAAAATTCAGAGCTATCACTGGGCGCCGCAAAGATCGCGAGGCAGAAGTCAAAGCTTTCACACTTCTTTTAACCGATTTCACAAGCGTCAATCTAACGAGACAAGAGGTCAACTTTGGGAAAAATTATTTCCTGCCTCATGAACGTTTTTCTCTCCATCAATAATGAAACTTGCTTCAAATAATTTCAGTCAGGGAAAAACAAAAAAGGCAATTGGTGCATCTTTTCTCAACGGCGAACACTACCTAGTGGATGCAAGAGGAAGTTTAATTAGGTTCGAAGAAAACGGGGAAAAGACAACCTTTATCGCGAACAAGCATAAAAATCTGTAAAACCTTTTTGCCTTTAACCAGAGTTGCAAATTTTGTGAGCTGTAGCTCAGCTCAGCGATTTTGAGGTGAGGGTCAGCTCAGCTCATTTTTTCTGAAGAAAGCTAGCTCAGTTCAGCTCAATGGTTCTTCGATAAGAGCGAGCTCAGCTCAGCTAGCTCAATTTGAACCTCAGCTCAGCTAGCTCAGCTCAGTTCGGGTGCGCGTTTTTTCTGGCACTTTTGAGAAATGCGTCTTTTCTGGCATCGCGTTCTTTCTGGCAGTCGCGTCTTTTCTGGCTCTGAAGTCTGATTCATTGAGTTCTAATATCAAGTAGGGTCTACCAAATCTAATCAACTGTTATTTCCTTCTGAAATTATCTTCAAGAAGAAGAACCCGTAGTTTTGAATATGATTGTGAGGACGAATTTCTTGGCACTAGAATATAATAAAAAATTATGAGATCATTGTAAGCGTCTAAGTACTGCTGTAGTGCTCTCTATACTAGACGGTTCTCTTGCAGCTAGTCGTAGCCTCTGTTGTATCTTCAATAAAAACACAAGGAAAGTAGTTTCCGAGAAAGCGTGTATTCTGCACTTTTACTGTGCGCGGACTGAAGCAGTGAACGTAAAAGTGGCAGAGAAGAGCGCGGCGCGAGATCCAGATCAGATCTCTAACCGACTTAAGCACTTAGACCTCACAGCTCCCCAGATTCTAGAGACGTTTCGAGAATCTTCAGTTGAAGAGTTGAAGTCGGAGAGATGAGTCATCGTAGTTGAGCAGAAGGGAAAGGAGAAAGGAAAGGCGGCCAATCAGCACAGCGCGGCGTCGGAATTGCACCAGCGTAGAGACGAAAAGTCGAGAAATGTCGGACGAAGATCGAACCATTTCCGGACAGCGACAGCCAATCAGAGTGCGAGAAGAAGTAGACTCGCGCGAGACGAGTTTTCTTTTGAAGAAAACTTCTCCTTTCTACGAGTAACTCTTGCGAGTTGGATCAACTTGTATCGGAGAAGGTTTTTTCCTGATCCGACCGCCACGGACGGTGAGATTTTCGAAGATAGAAGAAAGATCAGCTGACGAAGAAGACAAATGATGCCCATTTAGAGAGTCTGCCGCACTACAACGAGGAGCGGAAGTCGTCTCAACAGGTAAATCTTGAACATCATTTTCTACCAAGTCGGTCGAGCGAGGCGTAGTTGAAGTTGACGTTGATGGGGCGGGCGCGGTCGAATTTCTAGCAGTCGAGGGAGGAATTGAAGCAGTATTTTGACGCTTCGGATCAGGTGACGAGTCGGGACTCGCTCTTTTCCTCTTTTTTCTAGTAGACTTGCCAGAGGTTGTTTTTTGCTTTTCAGCAGCCGGCCTCCCAACCTTTGGTAATTTTGCTAGAGGTTCAGAATATGAACCAGAAGCGCCAACCGGTCGATTTTGAGGAGAATCAAGATCATCGCCACAGATGAGCTCTTGTTCTAAAGCGCGGTCGGAGGGAGATTTTAGATGATCCTTGCGCGGAGGTACCAGACGCAGATGAGATCGGTGAACCCAGTCACAAAAGTCGGCTCCGTCGACGATTTTCACCACAGATTCGGAGGCTTTTACGACTTTGTAAGGGCCTATCCAGTTACAGTTGGAGTCCTTGGCAGCCTTAGTGACGGGTCTGTAGAGATGAACCATGTCGCCGTATTTAAGAAGGCGAGCGCGATGAAGACGCTTATGTTGGCGTTCTAGAGCCAGGTCAGCGGAGCGGTTGGCGATTTTCGCCAATTTCGAGAGCATTTGAATCCGCTTCTTGACGATTTTGCCGTAAGTTTCAGGCGAGTTAGAGCGTACATCGGGGTCGTGTAGAGTTTCAGGAACTGTGAAGTTAGGACGACGGCCAGTAACGAGAGTATGAGGTACCTGACCAGTAGATCTGTTCCTGTGAGAGTTCATGAAGGCGACGCAGTAAGGGACAGCATCAACCCAAGTCATGTTTCGCTCATGAGTCAACATGAAAATCATGTCCTTGAAGGTTCTGTGGGACCTTTCAAGATTACCAGTAGATTCAGGGCGATAAGCGGTGTGATACTGCGGCGTGATACCAAGTTGAGAATAGAGTTCCTTCATAGTAGCAGAGACGAATGCGGTACCACGGTCAGAACTGACGATTTTTGGCACAACTTGATGCCGTAGAACCACCTCTTCGACGATTGTGCGTGCAGCATCGATCGCTCGCTCCCCAGTGCAAGCTCGAGCGACGAAAAATCGCGTGAATGTGTCGAGCACGGTGCAGCAGAAGCGTTTGCCAGCACAGTTGGGGAAGACGGTGAAGTCGATCATGATCGTTTCGAAGGGCTTAGAGCCGCGGGGAACATGTTGCATTTGAGGTAGAGCCACTTGCCCTTGGTTACCTTTACGCTTCGCGCAAATCATGCAGCTCTGCACGTAGTTTTGTGCATCTTCCATGTAGCGAGGCCACCAGTAGCTGCTGAGAGCTTCAATAACTCGAGGTACACCAGGGTGAGCTGAGTTGTCATGAGCTTTTCGAAGTTGCTCGATCGCGAGTTTAGGCGGTAAAACTTGGCGCTTTTTACCATTGCGCACGTGGAGAAGTACATTTGTACGGGAACAAATGCGGAAATGCTGCCAGTTGACGCGATACAATTCGTAGTTAGAATCGCGTTTGTCGAGTAGAACTTGCTTTGGGTCGCGTTTGTGCTTTTCAAGAGCATCAATGAGCTTTGCCAAACCCGAGTCGGCGCGCTGGGCATTAGCAAGTTGAAGTAGATCCTCGACATTCTGGTTGAGGGTGAACTCGTCGCCAGTGGAGCATGTAAGTGCGCGAGTGAGACCTTCGCGGAGCGGTTTCGAGGGAGAGGATTTCGGCGGGATAACAGTATCCTTAGTACACCAGCTGGGGATGTAAGCGCGGAGGCCACCGAAGTCGACGAATTTACCGGCTGACTTCTGATTGTCAGACGGAGGGTCCTTTTTGACACCGAAGGGCCGCGAGAAGAGATCTGCCCAGACGTTTTGCTCGCCAGGGAGATACTCGACGATGAATCTGTACGCGCTCAGTTCGTCCATCCAGCGAGCCAGTTTTGCGTTCTTGTGGTCAACCGAGTCAATATATTGAAGAGCTCGATGGTCGGTTTTCACCACAAAGGGCTTGCCGCGTAGGAAGTACTGAAATCTGCGGACGCCAAA